ATTTTGTTTATTAATGAATAAACAATGCTTAAGCTTATATGTAACACTGTGTACACTGTACAAGTCAACTCATTATATGCCCGACAGTTATGCAGCCCACCTTGCATAAAGCAGTATAAACAAAACACCAGCCTGAAGTTACATTCGCTTTTTTTTAAGGACATTTGCTTTTGGGATAGTACCAACCTAAATGGGGAAACAAAAAATAACTAGGACCGGGCTGAAGTTACATTCGTTTTTTTTAATCAACGGCCTTTTTAGAAAAGAGCCCTAAACATCGACAAATTCGTCCCCAAAGTTGAGTGTGTGAGTGAATGAGTTTTGCACGCGGAGGATAAGGGCTCTGTGGTGGCCCAAGGGCTCACCTAAAAGCCTCTACCTATCGTTTTTTCCAAAGTCGCCCACAGTTCGAAAAATTCCCTTTTGTTTGGTCAATGGCGCGGTATACGAATATTGCAAGTTGCAATTCAAAATTAATTTATTAAAATTGAGTGAGTTTTGCACGCGGAGGATAAGGGCGCCGTGGAGGCTCAAGAGTTCACCTAAAATCCCCTACCTATCCTTTTTCGAAAAGTGTCGTACAGTTCGAAAAATTCCCTTTGGTCAATGGCGAATTTTAATAAATTAATTTTGAATTGCAACTTGCATTATTCGTATACCGGGCCATTGACCAAACAAAAGGAAATTTTTCGAACTGTGGGCCATTTCTCGAAAAATGACAGGTAGAGGCTTTTAGGTGAGCCCTTGGGCCACCACAGATCCCTTATCCTCCGTGTGCCAAACTCACCCACTCACACACTTGCGCAATTTGTCAACTTCGGGGACGAATTTGTCGAGGTTTAGGGCTCTTTTCCAAAAAGGGGATGAAAATTTGTTCCGGTGCCATCACTTTCAAATAGTGATGTGGATCGTAAAATAACGATTTGTAAATTACATAAAAACGGTTATATTACGCGTAACTTACAAGAGGTCGGTTTTTTTATGTAATTTATGTCTTTTATGAAACTTACGTAACTTACGTTTTTAATTTAAAAAACCGTAATTTTTGTAAGTTACATAAATGTAATACCTATTTGATACATTTTGATCGGTACGCACAGACCATCAACGGTACTACCAACGCAAACGATTCACCGTTGAATTTAGTTTGGCTTAATGAAGATGATACAGCCTCTAATTCGCGATCTGGAGCTTATTCCTCCAAACGACGCGTGATGGCGAAATACCTACTGCTTGGGTATTTTATTTAATACACCAAAATATATAATTTAACAAGTGTTTTTATTTTCAAACACTCACAAAATTCAAAAAGGGTTATACAATATTGAAAAAAAAACATAAAAAAGATAAATGACAGGTAATTTTACAAAAATATTTGTAAATTACATAAAAAACATAAATTACTGGTAATTTTACTGTAAAATTATGTTTTTTTTTTTAAAATGGTAAGTTACATAAATTACATAAAATACATAAAAACTTTTGATCGAATTGATTTGGATTCTACGCACCAAAATTAATAAGAAAAAGTGTTTTCCCGAGAAATTTTGGTGAAGTCGATTTTTGGTAAAAAAGGAAGGTTTATACACCGCCTTTTTTTGAGCCCCGAAAAAAAAAATTGTCTCAGATCGACCCGGAAACAAATGTTCTTATAGAATGTGGCCTGTAGAATCCATAATTTCAAACAGTTCCAAGATTGGGCTACTAGTTCAAAAGTTACAGCCCTTTGAATTTTTTTTCGAAATTGGTTTCTAGTCTATAACTTTTGATTGATCGAAAAAGTACGAATTGTTTTAGATTCTACGCACCAAAATTAATAATAAATAGTGTTTTCCCGAGAAATTTTGGTGTAGTCGATTTTTGGTAAAAAAAGGAAGGTTATACACTGCCTTTTTTTGAAGGCCGAGAAAAAAATTGTCTCAGATCGACCCGGAAAAAAATTTTCTTATAGAATGTGGCCTGTAGAATCCGTAATTTCAAACAGTTCCAAGATTGGGCTACTAGTTCAAAAGTTACCCCCTTTGAATTTTTTTTCGAAATTGGTTGCTAGTAGTGATGTGGATTGTAAAATAACGATTTGTAAGTTACATAAAAAACGGTTATATTACGCGTTACTTACAAGAGGCCGGTTTTTTAATGTAATTTATGTCTTTTATGAAACTTACGTTTTTAATTTAAAAAACCGTAATCTGTGTAAGTTACATAAATGTAATACATTTTGATCGGTACTACCACTCAACGGTACTACCAACGTAAACGATTCACCGTTGAATTTAGTTTGGTTTAATAAAGATGATACAGCCCCTAATTCGCGATCTGGAGCTTCTTCCTCCAAACGACGCGTGATGGCGAAATACCTACTGCTTGGGTATTTTATTTAATACACCAAAATATATAATTTAACAAGTGTTTTTATTTTCAAACACTCACAAAATTCAAGAAGGGTTATACAATATTGAAAAAAAAACATAAAAAAGATAAATGACAGGTAATTTTACTGTAAAATTACGGTTTTTTTTAAAAAAAATGGTAAGTTACATAAATTACATAAAATACATAAACAATTGGTAATTTTACACGTAATATTACGCACTTTAAAAAAACGTGTAATTTAACATCACTACTTTCAAAGGCCGTTGATTTAAAAAAAAACGAATATAACTTCAGCCCGGTCCTAGTTATTTTTTGTTTCCCCATTTAGGTTGGTACTATCCCAAAAGCGAATGTCCTTTAAAAAAATAGCAAATGTAACTCTAGGCTGGTGAAACTGTCTTTAAAGTGTTTTTTCAGTTACTAGAATTTTACTCATTTGCTGTGAATCGTCAAATTCAATACGAAAATGTGTGAAATTTCAATTTCTTTATCTGAATAATGAACAGTGGTGTAATTAAGTTTCTTCTATGTATACGTTAACATATTTAACTTCATTTGTACAATTAAAACATTACAAGTTCTTTTTCTGGTGTAATTCCACCATCAACATGAATTTTTTTAAGCTGCTGTGAATTACGCCAATTGACGGAATTTGCTTATCGGGATAACTTAGCAGCAAATAAATCCTGTGGTTATTGAAATACATTTCTCCCATTTCCATTTTCTCTTGGTTTGTCTACATTTTATTAGTAAATAATTAATAATTTTAATTTAATAAATAATTCCGATACTGATATTTATTGAAAAGCATTTGCAAAAGATGAAAGAAAGTGAGATTAGTTGCATATTTTAAGGGAAGAATTGAATGTAGGAGATTATTTGTATATTCACGTTAAAATTTACGCACTGTATATTTAAAAGTAAATGTTTAAATCACGTTTTTACAATTATACGAGTACAAATTAAATTATGTCGTTAATTTTTGATAATACAGCATAATCAAACGAACTGATACAACGTTTTCTTCACTAAAAGTAGCAAGAAAATTGCAGTAATTCAACCGTTTTAATCCAGAATGTCCAATATCACAGTCAACATTTGTTCAGTAATTGCTTTTTATTGTTTACTGAGTTTTCCACGTATCCTGAAGCAATACGGTGGATGATTTCGAGCTGTTTCAGGATATCTATATCGGCATCTTGCTGAAAGTGTTTTTCCAACCGGTTGAACTGTACACGTGTTGTTCACATAATGTACAGGAAACGTGCATAAGATGTGTTACTTTTTTTTAAGATTTCGTATATTTTGTGCATATGTGAACAAAATTTGTTTAGTTACTTGAACAATTTTTATCGATAACTTTTTTGTGTTTCTAACAATAAATAATAAACGAAAACTCACGTTCTATGCAAGTAACTTTAATAATGCTATGCTTCTGCAAGAACCGGTCATTCGAAATAAGAGCAACGTAAAATTTTGTTTGGGACCCGCCTCATAAGCAATTATACTCTTCCCAGTTTATCCCTCATTTGTACTTTTTTGAGGATTTCACTTACGAAAAGGCATTACCCATCGGTTATCATAAACATTTTTTTATATTGTGGAAAAGGCAGCACTTTGCTGTGAAAAATTTGCATACCTTTGAAAGGCATAAAGAACACTATAATTCTACCAAACGATAAAATCTAAAAAACTATAGTTATTTATTTATTTCCCCTCTCTTGTTCTGGACCCTCAACAGGCTTGCGCCCAATTACAGAGTGACTGGCATAATGACATGATTAAGGAAAAACCGAGGGAAATACCCAACATAGTTTCAGTATTGACTGTCAATCAAAACCAAATTACTGGAACTTTGAGGTTTCTGGGTGGGCTAGCTTGAACTCTAATGGGAATCCGAAAATTTTGTCAAAAAATTGTCTCGAATATATTCTTTATCACTTGGAATAAAAATAATACTCTCAATGTTTGCCTATTGAAGAAAAAACAAAGGCACATGTGACGCAACCTTTGCGGGAAATATGACGTGTTTGTTCTAGAATGTTCGACAAAATTCGCGAGCACTCGAGAACAGTCGAGTCTGCTATATAAGCAAATTGCATTGCGTTTCAAGACAGTTCCAATTTATACAAAAAAATTCAACTTCGGGTTTTTGCGGTAAGGAAGAGATTTAGAAGAACTACCTAGGACCTATAGTATCTGTCTGTCAGTCTAAATGTCCACTGAGCCGAGATGTTAAACTTGTACTTGCCATACATAGACCAAAGGGAACCTACTCTCTTCAGTTCGGCTCCAGAACATCACCATGAGCATGTGTGGTGCTCTTCCAATGATTACAACGTACTGCAAATCTGTGACCTGTTTTATTCAAAAGCAATTAAAGAGTGCTATTAATAACTACTTCCAACCACAAAGTATGATTATTCTTATCTTAGATAATGCTCAGGTATATTACGCATGAAGATTATAATAAAGAACATACAGCACACGTAAGAGAAATGCGTATTGGATGAGTAGTAGATCGAAAAAGCAACTTCAACGCGACACAAAAAAAAATAAAACTTCAAAATATGTTGTAATGTTCCCATTTTAAACAAATACCTGATAGCCGATCGTATCAAAACTGAATTCCACACGGGGAAACAAAAACCACAAGAAAATAAATATTGTTGTCAAGTAAAACGTCAAAGTAAATTTCTACACCAATTATGACACATTTAGGTTTATTTCAACGCAAACATTTGAGTTCTTCCGAAAGTCATTTATTAGAAAATTGTGTGCTTGAAGACCCAGAAGATCCCTCGGGTGTGAGACTAACACTAACCGAACAAGTGTTTCTTCTCGGGCTTAAGGATCGCGAAGGTTACGTGTCGTTTTGGAACGATTACATTTCAAGGGGACTTCGCGGGTGCATTTTGATCGATTTGTTCTTGCGCGGAAGGATCAGACTGGTGGATAGAGCTGGTCGTGCAAAGTCTGTGTTAACTCGTAAAGTGGTTTTGACAAATGACGTGCCAACTGACGATCCGTTGCTTGACGAGGTGCTAAAATGGATTAAATTAAGCCAGGAACCGCACACCGTACCGGAGTGGATCGACTACATGTCCAGTGAGAATTGGTTCCAACTTAAGTATCGTTTGCGGAATGTACAAAATCGCATCGCGAAGGCTCTAGTGGAGAAAGGCGTGTTGAAGACAAGTATTCAAAACTTCTATTTGTTCAGTATTACTACGCATCCTCTTTTGGAAAATGTTACAAAGGCGAAGATTGTGACAAGCTTACAAAATGCAATTTTAAAGAAATGGTCGTACGATGCGATTCGTATGGATAAAAAGCTACTGGCACTAATATTTTTGGCGCATGCTAGTGGGGTACTTGATAACGCGCTGGAAAGCCTCGGAAATGAAGATTATCGCATCTGTAAGACGAGGATTGTAAATTTGTTGCGGTTAGACTTCGAAAGACAGGCGTACAAATCCGATGAAGATGCCCTTATGTGGGCTGTAATTTATGCCTTAGCGAAAAATGATTATATCTGAACTGTAGTCCACAATATTAACAGCAATAAAATCACTGTTGTAAGGTGTACTTTGATGCTCATACCAATTTCATTACTCAAGTCGAAGAGGATGCCAGGGTTACACTTTAGCTCTGTGAGAAAATTTGCCGAATTCATGTAAAATATTGAGGTTGTATTGTATCTATACACCTGTTCCTTTACCAAAACTGCGATCTTATCGTTTCAACGACGTTCGATCTTTTGTAGATTGAAATTTTTTTGAAATTTGTTTCTTTTAAATGATCATACATTATTGAAAATATATATTATGCCCAAGGTGCTTAAGCCAAAACTTGTCTGCACCTTGCGAAAAATAAAAAAAAATAGGGAATGGATCTAGGAATGGGTCTTTGGTGACTCAAAAAAAATGTACATAGTTTAGCTATTACACAATACTAGAAAAGGGCAGGGAATAATTTAAAAACGAAAAAAGAATCTATTATTGAAAAAGCTGATGTATTGCCGACCTGGAATACGATCGAAGCCAAACTTTTATGCCTCTTTTTAGTCCAGGCCCTAGAGCTCAAAACAGGGGTCCACCTTGCAAATTTCTGAGACAAAGAACCAAGATGCAAGGTTTCTGTTTTTTGGGTCGCTGAATCCGAATTTGACATTTGCACAAAAATCCGCATGACGCGGGAGCTGCCATCTTAGAAAAATGGCTGAAAATCGGCGGTTTTTCCACAAAACCCGAAATAACTCATTTGGTATCGGTTTTTTGGCGAAAAAACTTCAGTAATAAATTATAGTACATAAAATTTCCTTTGAAATGAGCCCTTGTTGATGAAAATCAGATAAAAACTAACGCCACTACAGTGGGACGAAATTCGGCCCAAAAATGAAGTTTTCGCAATTTTCAATATTTCGCGCGCAAAATAACGGAACTGACGTCATTCACAAGCAGTATGCTCTCCGAACGTGAGGAGCTTTTGAAGAACATCCAATTACCTTTAAAATGAGCCCAAGTTTGTTTAAATCGGACGAAAATTGACATCGCAACATCGTCGTTTTAAAATTTTTATTCACAATTTACAACATGATTTATGCATTGAATGATTCAAAAGGCCTTACTCACTAAAACCCCCGCCGCTCAGGTTGTGTTTTGATTAAGTTGATCTGTGTATTTTAAGAACTGTACAAAAAATGTATACAGTAGGACCGTAGATTACCAACGAGGGTGCCAACTTTGAATGTGCTCGTAGAAAAAATGCAAGAAAAGATCAACTATACGGGTGGAAGCAAGGAATTGTTGAAACTTTTTGATATTTTTTGATAAAAAGTATCATAAGAAGCGTAGGTTGTTAATGGAAAGAAGTGACATCGTAGCATGACATTTTCGGTATTTAAGAAACGTAAGAGACCTGTTATATACTTGAATGAGCCCTATATATCCACCCATCGTATGGAGTGAGTAAATGCTGGCAATCCGATGAAGTATCGAGAGTTTATCAATCCAATAGGGATGGTCAGAGGTACATCATAGATCATGCTGGTGGTCATTCTGGTTTTGTAGAGGATGGTTTGTTGTTGGTCAAGTAACAATAGTGATTGAAAAAAGTTAATAATACGAACAAGGGTTGTCAACCTCTGTACTGTAACAAATTGTTGTAAAGAGTTACGCATTTTCGGTATTTTCTATTTAAATTTCCAAATTTTCTATCTGGACCCTCCCGTCAAGAGCGTCCCCATTCGATTCTTTTTTCTAAACAAGGACTGTTGTGTCTTTTCGCTTTTTGCTGAAATTTATAAAAATTTCTGAAGCACTTTTTTCACAAATGAAACACTTTTTTATGCTTTCTGGTTCCATATTGAACGCTCAATCACCGAAAACACACTGGAAAGAAGAAAAAAAAACATAACTAATGGCCATTTGCACCGACAAACTTAAGCGTTGCTTAAAATCCATAAAAACGATTATTGAGACAATGGTTGTCATGGATTTTGAAGCTACCCTAAGTTCAGCTTAAATTTTTCGGTGCAAACGGCCATAAGTATTCCAAAAGCTGGATAGCAGGACGTTATGTTCTATAAACAGGAAAATCCGATAGCAAAATTTGACGGCAATACGCAAAAAACAAACCATTTTTTAGCTACATTCCAAAACCACGTATCCTGGTTGAACAGTTCGATGGAGATACATGGTTTTGAAATGTAGCAAAAAAGTTGATTCTCTTTCGTTAAATGCTGCCGAATTATGCATTTGAATAACGAATGCCGAGTTTCTGACGAAACAGCCAATAAGGATATAAAAAACAAAAAACCACACTAAAAGAAGCAATCTTGCCAAAATTAGGGATTCAATAGGATGTTCTTCAAAAGCTCCTCACATTCGGCGAGCTTACTGAATGACTTCAGTTCGGTTTTTTGCGCGCGAAATTTTGAAAATTGAGAAACGTCATTTTTGGGCCGAATTTCGTCGCACTATAGTGGCGTTAGTTTTTATCCGATTTTCATCAACAAGGGCTCATCTCAAAGGAAATTTTATGTACTTTAATTTATTACTGATGTTTCTTCGCCAAAAAACCGATACCAAATGAGTTATTTCGCGTTTTGTGGAAAAACCGCCGATTTTCCGCCATTTTTCTAAGATGGCGGATCCCGCGTCATCCGGATTTTTGTGCAAATGTCAATTTCGGATTCAGCGAGCCAAAAAACATAAACCTTGCATCATGGTTCTTTGTCTCAGAAATTTGCAAGGTCAAACCCTCTGGGGCCTGGACTAATTTGTTGGCCCTGTAAATTGTTTGTGACTTAACAGTTAAGGGTAATTTGTTATACAGTGTTCATTTGAAAACTTTCCACCACGGTTTTATTAAAAGGTGATTAAAGGAAAAAAACATCTCAAAAGATTTGTCAAGGAGGACAACTTTTTAACCCAAAACTACTTTACCCCTTTCACCCTCTGGTCACCTTAAAAATTTTAATTGACAAGTGGTATCGAGTAATATGTGGCTTGTTTCAACAGTCTTTCGAAGTCCTTTATTTTGAAGTTTATTTTTTTTAAATCGGACGATCCGTTTTCCAGAAAATTAGAAACATTTTTATTTAATTTATTTAATCGACCTATCTCAATTTGTTCAGGCACAAAACAAAAGCAAACGAAAAATATCACTTATTTGTTGCTATGGGAAAGAAATAATCTATTTTGCTGTCTAGTTACCTTGTTGACAATCTTGGGATAGTGAAAATTTATTTATTTATTCAGATTTTACTTCCAAAATGGTTTACACACTCGCCGAAAGAGTGGAAATTATCCTAATTTATGGTACAAACTACAAAGTCATGCATTATGCGTGATTGTTGCATTAAACGCAAAGGTTTTTTTTCAATGCAATTTTAGTGTAAAGTTGACGAATATCAAAGATCTCCAGGTTTCTGTATAATTCGTCAGGGTTTTTTAATCAATAATTTTTAAGAGCCGCTTTTGTACAATTTCCAGATATTTTATTGCATTTTTTGGTGCGCCACCCTACGCTATTATACCATAGACCAGGCGTGGGCAACCCACGGCCCGCCGATAGGTTTTGTCCGGCCCGCTAATATAATTCATAGTTAGGTAGTACTTCATAGGGCTCACAAGTTTCAAATTCTAATTAATTAATTAATTAATATGATTATGTTACACGTGCAGCATCTAGTGGACGTGATCCGAAGCTTCCAAAACGTTTGAAAGCCTAGTTAAAGATGCATTTATTGTTTCAGAGATACCGCCAGGTATTTTCCAGAATTTTCCTCGCGATAATACCGGGTGGGGCAATACAACGACACGTGTTTTAGGGATAAAGAATCTTAAGAGCATAAATGAAAATTTGGATACAAACTGAATATGGGGATTTATTATCCACATCTGTTAAATTTTGTTTGCAAAATCGTGTCAATTTTCAGTACTTTTTTTTTTAAATAATTTTTACGAAAGCAAAAAATAGATCAAGACCAAAAAGAAATAGATACTTAAATATTGATTTCTTTAAACATACTTTTTATTTGGATTTTCAAGTGTGGCCCGTGGCGCATATAAAAAATTTTATTTTGGCCCCTTGGAAAAAAAGGTTGCCCACGCCTGCCATAGACAATATGCGATTCGATTAGCGCAAACAAATTTGTTTTAGGGTATGCAAAGACAGTGTCTCGAAGTTGTTTAAAAACTTGCTAAGTCTTCAGCTACGTTAATATAATAGTCGTTAAAACAATTTGCTATCTCTTTTGAATTTTCAATAGTCGTATTGCTGAATTTTACTGTTTTAATTTAAGTGGATTTGCTGTGACAGTTTAAAGTTTGTACCCCATATCGCTCTATTTTTATTTGTCGCATTGTTTAATTTTGATTGAAAAGCAAAATTTTGACTTTAATAAACCGATACAACGAAATATCGAAGGATCCTCAGTATTGCAATCATTTAGTTAGGTAACAAAAATGCCTCAAATTCATGTCTTGGTCATTGAGATAATGCTCTTAATTTTGCCAACGATATCAGTGCAAGAATAACGATTTTGACATGTTTTGATCAAAGTCCATGTGGTTGCCAAAAATAGATCAAATTCATGCCTTGGTCATTGAGATAATGTTCTTAGTCTTTTTCCCAACGAGATTGGTGCATAAATAACGATTTTGACATATTTTGATCAAAATTCATGTGACCTCCGAAAAATAATTTAACATCTTTGAATCACACAGATGCGGTTATAAAATGTGTACGTGATGTATTCAGCATCAAGATAATGCGTTTGACAACTTTCAAAACTCCTAATTCATGTGTAAAAAATAATTTTGGGTACATTTTGCTCTAAAACTTTTGACCTATACCACAGAGAAGAGCTATATTGATTTGTTACACATCTAAGAGTAATAGGGAATAATCTAGCGATAGTCCGAAGTCGATACACGACCTAGGGAATGAAATATTTTGATTTCTATTATATTGAGCCCGTAGATTTTCCTGTTCCCGATTCACTCGAAGTCCTATAACTTTTGTTCCTGTTGAACCAGCTTCCTGAAAATCAATAGCGTCCGTCCTTAATGTTCAAAG